GGACAGCTCAGCACAGGGCTTAGGCTGCCTCTGTTGGGCTTTCATGCTGCACTGATTTCACTGTGCACTAAACCCCAGCCTCTCCTCTCACTGTGGTGTTTTTTCTGCGCTGTGACAAAAGCTGGGGGTGCAGAGCATCACGCTGCTCTGCTTCCTGCCCTTGCCAAACGTGTGCCCAGGCAACCTGTGCACTGTTGCCTTCAGTCAGGGCAGCCCCCAGGGCTTGGCAGGGGAAAGCGCCAGCAGCTTCACAAGAGAGGCACAAAATGGAGCGGGCTGCAGCGACCACCTGTCTTGCACGAGGGGCAGGCAGTGCCTGCACGTGCGGGCACACAGCACTGCGGAACCCCGGGCAGCGGAGGGCAGCCCGGGCAGGCGCCGCAGGCAGCGCTGTGGGGCGGCCACGGGCCCTGTCCCTGCTGCACGGCTGCAGGGAGCCCTGCAGCAGCGCTGGTGTCAGCGCAGCAGCCTGACTCCTGGGGGCGGAGGAGAGGAAAGCGCTGTTCCCTTCTTGTGTAGCAAGCGATGTTGCCAAAATAGCTTACATCAGGGAAGCCAATTTTAATTTTTAACTTAGAAGGAAGAAGTTTTGCCTTTTTTTTTTTTTCCTAAAGGGAATTATATTAAGAATTAGATTTAAATCAGAAAGGGTAGGATTCTCACATCTAAGCTGGCAGGTAGAAGCAGTTGGGTTTTGACTAAAGAAAAACTTCCCTTATTGGTTTGTTTGGGACAGCAGTAGATTGGAAAAAAGACATTTGGGTGAATTTTTAGCTAGGGATTGGAGGCAAAGGGCAGCATTTGGTGTTATAACATCAATAAAACTGCATTGACTGAGGACAGTGCTCTGCACCAGCCCTGTTACTGCTGCAGGCTGGGCTAACATGTCCCTCTGCTGACTCACACCCCATGAGTGTGCCAGGACTACAGGTGTCTCCACCCGCTGCCCTGTGGGTTCTAATGAGAACCAGCACCATCCAACAGTGCAGTTGTTCCCTGCAAACCCACCTCTGGCCTACACTGCTGCTGTGTGAGGAAGGCTGCCCCAGCACAGCCCCAGGAGAGCACTGCTGTGCACTGCAGTAGGAACAGGGAGCCAAAGCCTGGCACGCAGGGCCCTGCTTCCTTCCTCCAGTCCTCACAGGCCTCCACTCATCACCCAGCGCTGTGTAAAGCAACTCAGCCCTATCTTGCCTTTATTCCTCAGCTGTTTCCACTTTCTCTGGCTCTTTTAGGCCCAGTACCCATCTCCCACCCCAGATCTCATCATGATGGGTCAGCATTAACACCAAGGTTTTCACAGAGCTCTTCTGTGCCAGAGGCATGTGCCCTTCATGCACACACAGCCAGCCCTTGCTGCTGTGGGGGCTGCAGAGCTGGTGTTGGTGCAGCAGCACCTCACAGCAACCACATTGCTGCACTGTCTCTACCAGCTGCAGGGCACAGAGCTATAGGCAGGAGGGCTGACCCTGCTCTACCACGCAGGTGTCAAGCACTCAAGAGCCAAGCCAGAGTCATGCTCGGGTCTGTGCAGGCTTCCAGCTCCTCCACGTGCACCCCAACTCCTGCCTGAGGGTGGGCTGTGGCCTCTGCTGTGCTCTCCCATGGCGTGTGTGGGATTGCTGCTCAGAGCTGCCATCAGCCCTTGTAACTGAGTCTCCAAAACCGGCTGATACCTACCTGCCTGAAGGGCAGAGGCACCCACGTTTGGAAAGGAAAGACAAAAGGTTTCATTGTTCCATAAAGACTATGGACATGAGAAGGGCTGGGGAGTCGCTTCCCTTCTTCTGGGTAGATGGAAAAAGGAACACTTACCCCCAGGATGTTATATGCAGCATATTTTTTAATTTAATAAAATAAAAAGAGAAAAAAAGTTGCCTTTCAAAAGTACCAAAACCTGCCAGCTTGTCCGTCAGGTTGTGTTAGGGGAAAAAAAAAAGGTTAACCACTAAAACCTGGGCTGCTGTGGAAGAGCTGGCGAAGCGGCTTTCAAGTGCTCTCTGGTTATGGCCAGGCCCCCCAAAAAGCTGGGATTGATGGCTCCAGCCAGCAGGGGAACAAAAAAAAAAAAAAAAAAAAGGGAGTATTTTTGCTTTTCTAAATGGCAACTACAAAGCCCAGAAACTGTGGTGCAGAGATACTCGCAGGTGATGCTGGAGCACTCTGGGCATTGCAGCCTTTGGCCTGTAACAGCAGCAGGTGTAAATGAAAAGCAATATAAAACAACTCAGCAAGCCTGCAGCTGACCAGCCCTGCTCTCTGCATAAAGACCAGACTGGACTGGGAGAAGCAAAGAAAAGTGAGTTCGGGCAGGGGAGCAAGAAAACTAAACTGGGAGGTACCGGTTATGATTCCAGAGTGCTCTCCTACAGCAGATCTCCCACCAAAGGCAGGACAGGCTGGGAGTCCTTCCCCTTACCAGGGCTGTCCTACCTGGATGGAGCACATCCTGGCTGGAGAGCCAAGGCTGGAGGGACCAAGAGCTCCTGGCCTCACTGCCCTTGGGACAGGCTGAGTTCGGCACTCACCTCACACCGAGGCGTTTCAAAGGTAAAATGTTTTTCTTGCCCATTCCTCCTACTGAGCTCTGTAGCAGTGATAGAAACAGAGGAGCAGCGGCCAGAGGCAAGATGGTGCCAGGAAATAAAGCATCCCTGGTTCACCAGTGACCTTAGAGTTACACTGTGAGTCAGAGGCCGGGTAAGGGCAGGAGTCCCAGCAGCCCCATGCTGGTTTGCTCCCAGGATCCGAGCTTCCAGGCCCATGCCTTGGCTGGAAGTCTTGACCTATTAAGGCAAATGGAAAGGCTTGGAGTTGTAGCAGCTCGGAGCATGCCTGGCTTCTCTGGACTCGTTCTGGCCTCTTCCCCAAGAAAAGCAGGTGGGAAGGCAAGTCACTGGTCCAGCCTACCCATCCCCCACCCTGCTTCTCAGTGGGTTCACAAAGACAGGAGAAATCAAGCAGGTGTCCCCACACAGGGGCAGGACAGCAGGCACAGCTCAGGTGCCACGGCCCCAGCTCCTTAGACCTTCTGTACAGGGCTCTCGCCTGGTGGTAGCTTCTTACTTCGCTTCTTCATGCGGCTGCGGGCATAGACACGGAGGAAGAGGGCCACGAAGACGACGGCTACACCCAGCCCACCCACAACGGTGACAGTGTGCCCATAGATGAGGCAAGAGAGGAGGATGGCGAAGGCCTGGCGGAGCGTCATAATGATGGTGAAGACAGCAGCCCCGAACTGGTTGATGGTGTAGAAGATGAAGAGCTGGCCGCAGGCAGAGCACACGGAGAGCAGCACAGCGTGGGCTGTGAACTCCGAGTGGCGCGCCATGAAACGCACCGACTCCAGCAAGGCGCCCTGCTCCAAGAGCGAGCCCACCGTGAAGAGGCAGGAGAAGACGTTGACGCCAAACATCATCTGCACGGGAGACATCTTGTAGGTGAAAAGGGCATCCTGCCAGTTGGAGGTGAAGCTGTCAAAGACGATGTAGCCGGCCAGGAGGACTACGCCTGAGAAAGTAGTGACAGTAGACACGTGCCTGTTGGGAGCACTGGAGAGCAGGAACATGCTGACCCCCACAGATATGAGGGCAGCAGTCAGGTACTCCCAATACTCATAACTCTTGCGTGACACCAGTTTGCCCATCATCATCACAGGGATCACTTTGGAGGCCTTGGCCAGCACCTGTGTGGGGAAGCTGATGTATTTGAGTGCCTCATACTGGCACCAGCTACTGAGGATGTTGGAGAGGGAGGCAAAGGAGTATTTGTACATAGGAGCGCCATGGCGTGGCTGCTTGGTTAGGGCACAGTACAGACCAGCCACTGTGAAGGCCAGGATGCGGTTCATGAACACCAGGAACTGGGAGTCCTTAAATTTCTCGCCGGGGTCTGTGTCAGTAGCACCATATGTCCTTGTCATCACACGTTCCTGGAGGACACCCCACGTCAGGTAGGAGGCCTGCACAGCAGGAGGAACACGGGGACAGTCAGGATCACCAACAGGAGCTACAAGCAACCACAGGGAAGAATGGACCCCAAGAGGTCCCTGCCTGCCCCAGCAAGGAAACACTCAGTCCTGAGACACGGTGAGATGGGGATGTGCCCTGCTAAACCTGTCTTTGGAAACCCACACAGTTACAGTTAGGAACATCTAGTTCCAAGCAAACAAAAACAACCCTTCTCAGTTTACAGCTGCAATTCAAGGGAAGAGAAGCCCACAAAGCAAATCCTAGTGTACAATAAACAGTTACATTTTAAGCTGCCTGTTGAACCAGACAGACAGGATCATTGAACAGCACTGATGCATGGTTGGGGCTTTGGTGCCAAGTTCCCTTGACAGCTACTGGCAACTTTCCCAGTGGCCTCAGTTTTCACTTTCAGCTCCCTAGACCCAGTTCTTCTATCCAAAGTAATTCTAGTTTCAAATGTAGCAAAGGAAATCATCCTCCAGGGAAGACCACTGGCTGCCTGTCACCTCTCCTACTCCACAGCCCTGGCACAACAGCGTCAAGCCCCTCCCAGAAGTAACATGGACATCATCTCACCACACATCCCCTTCTGGGAAACTGAATCACAGAGAGATTAAATGACTTAAATGACATTCAGATCCCTGAAGATCTGAATGGACGGGGGAGAGTAGGACAGAGCACTGGATGTTTTCTGCTGGCTACAGGACACATGGGCTTTCTATCACAATTGCCCGCTTTTATATTTTTAGTCCTCACAGACCCAGAAAGCTGTCCTTCCTAATGTCACTTGGGCTGTAACTGGGCCTTAATGATTAAAAATTCTTCTTTATCTGTAGCTAGATTCAATATTTCTCTTTGGTATCCAAATCCAATCCATCAAGGCCAGGACACACCAGCCCCAGAGGCAGAACACAGAGAAGAGCCTGAGAAATGAGAGGGGTTAAACTGTCACACTGTCACCCTGTTTGGCAGCGGGGCGAGAACAAGAGCAACCTTAACCATGCTGCATCACAGGATTTCCTTTATCTGTGACTGCAGATGACATTGACTGGACAGACAAGAGGTCCCAACCCAGATGGTATCAACTGAACAGACCTCCAGAGGCCCTCAGAGGCCACACAGCAGTCGTGCTGGCCAAGAGGCTGTGCCTCAGCCTCCAACCCTGCCCCAGACCAAGGACAATGCTGCATTCCTGGTGTTAAAGGAGCTGGTGGCTAAAGGCCACACGAGCTGTCTGTCTCCTCCTCACAGAGTGTGCTGGCCACCCATACAGACACACGTGGGGCTCCTACCTGCAGACCAGCAGCACAGAAGAGCAGCTTGAAGACCTGTCGGGCTGTAGAGGACTCTGCAGGCTCTGCTCGGGCCGGGAGAGAGCCATCCTCTTGGTGCGCAGACTTCACCTCAGAGCCGAACACACATGATTTAATGACAGGGAAACAAATTCCCCGGCCTGAAGGGGATAAGAGAACACAGGAAAATAATCAGCGATGGTCTGGGAAGCCACAAGCCACACCAGCTTGGGAAGGGAGGCCTCCCTCCCTACCAGCCATTTCACTACACAACAAGTGCTGCTAAACAGAGCCTGAGGCCTTGAGCAGGATTGAAACCAATTCTCGCCTTGCCCAAAGTCCTGCCTAGCCTGGTAGAGCAAGCAGGTCAAGATGAGCCCTTGTATTAGTTAAGCAGTCCTGGACTGTGCTGCCTCAGGCAGACTTCAGATTGCTCAGAGAACATCTCCACGTTCTGGCACAAGGGCCTCAGAAAAACGCGACAGTTTCAGGGTAGCTCCTGGACAGCCCTGGGAAGCAACGCTGCAAGCAGCTCAGATGCTGTCCGACAGACAAGGGCCAGGGAAACCCCCCATCACACTGACGGGGTTGGCAGAGGCGGTGGAGAGCTCGCAGGGAGGCAGGCTGCACAGGGAAGCTGCTCCTCTTACCTGTCTCCAGGTAATTCTTTCTCTTGAAGTAGTGGATGAGCAGGAACCCCGGCACCACAATACTCGCGTAGCCAGCAGCGTTAACGAAGAAACGGAAGAGCCAGAAGTCGCCCCACGCGTCCTGCAGGGCAGGGGCGACGTCTTCGCCGGCAGCCATGGCGGGCAGAGCGGCCAGCAAGAGGGGGACGCACAGTCTGCGGAGAGATTAGCCGACGCAGCGCGCCAGGCAGGAAAAGCCCTCTGGAGTTCAGGAGCGCAAGCACAGCGTTTACTTTTGCTTCTGTTAACACTGTTTGCTCTGGCTTAGGAACACGTGGCCTTAGCAACTTCTTTTTCCAGACTTGCAGAGGATGTTGGAACACTTCTAATGGGCTTTTTCACAATGCCCTTGTACCGAATGCTTTGAAAAACTTTACTGCAGCCCCTGGGTGGGAAAAGGTCATCACACAGAGCAGCTTCTACCCGGCAGCTCGCGTTTCAAGGCCACGGCCAGAGCTGCATTTGGGGAGAGGAGCGTTGCCCGCAGAGGACCAGGGTTGCCAGCCTCTGCCATCTCCCGGCTGAGGCAGCATGCAGCCATGCCAAGGCATTCCCGGAGCTCGCAGGAAACCACCAGTGCTTACCCACTTTGCAGGGCACGGGCAGAGCGCACGGCTGCGAAGGAACTTTGCTATCAGCCTGCTGATTGGGATTTTACCAACACCATCCAACGGGGTAACTGATATTCTTGTAGCACAGCATTAGGCGCTAGTGTAGCCAGATTTAATGCAGCAGCTGTGCCCCGGAGGAGGCCTTCCCTCCGCCATCCCAGGTGGGGAACACCGCTACGGCATGTGTCGGCACGCCGGGGAAGCTGCCCTGCACCATCCCCTGCCGCAGCAGCCTGGCCTGCGTCGAAGCAGCCTCCTGCACAGGGTAGGAGGTATCCCAGGCTCACTGCTCCATCCCTGCCTCAGTTTCCTCGGTACAAAGAGCTATTTAGCCTGCGGTGGGGAGCGGGGTAGCTACATAAAGGAGCAACTGAGAAAGCGCTGAGCTTGGGCGAGGGAAAAGGCCAGGGAAGGGGAAGGTGCTAATCCCAACAAAACAAGCGAGCCTTGCAAAACCAGCCCCCCTGGGAACGCGCCGTGCCCAGAGCCATCCCCGGCAGCTCTAACGCGAAACGCGCGCGCGGAGCAGCGAGGGCGAGACGCTCC